GTTAAACGAGCCACCCTGCCACCTGCACCTTCAGCTGTGACAGACACTAAATTCGCAGGTGCAAAACCAGCAAAGCAGAGCACACCTTCCCTTCAGGTAGACCTGCCTCAGTGGAACCACGATCTGCTCTTGTTGTTAGTGGAGAAAATTGTTAGTAGTCAGAGGAATGGTTTGCCTGGCCTTAGAAAGGTCTTTCTAGCCTAATAACTCTGTGGGCATTTGCATGTTCAAGAAGGTAGATACATCCAATAATTAGAGAATCATTTTTTGAAAACAATAGTTGGGAATACAGTGTGAAAAACATATGCCTGCAATTTAAATGGTTTTGAATAAAAATGCAAACAAATGAATTTCTGCCTAATGTTAATGAAACAATGCTTAGAAAACCAATGTAACTAGCCATTGCAGAAGCTGACTGGGAATGAGATCAGATCCCCAGAAACAGAAGAGGAGCCTAGTGGCTGGACACGAAAGGGAGGCTCACCAACAGAATATGCAAATGTGACTGAGGCTGGGGAAAATGAGAGAAAAGTCAAAGACAGGGAAAGGGAAATGTACTAACTCCAGTTATTTTTCTCAAGGCTTCTAGACAAATCTCAGACGAGCACAACCCGTCAGCTTTCTCCCAAAGACGTGCAACAAAAGCAGCTGGAAAGAAGAACAGAGCAACTGGATTGCAAACTGCTTCCCAGGGTGCCTCTAAAATGTCTCAGTCTTGAAATAGGTTAGCTGAGCCACCTTCCAATGATACCTACGATCTGCACATTGCTTGGTCCATAGTAAAATCCCAACACATTTGGATAGAATAAATCATCCTTGAAAAATGAATCCATAGAGTTATAAGTTTTAGACAGAGGATTGGAGCCAAGCTAACAACAAGGAACCAAATTTTCCCCTTTGGCTCCACGAAGATGATGGTGCAACAGGTTCATGCTGGTGGGAAGACCCTTTAAAATACAGCAGTACACTGCACCAGAAAGAAGATCCCTCTCTGACGGACATGCTTTCTTCAGAGACCAGTGAAAACTGATCTGCCAAACTTCCAATGGTTTGGTGAGGTTTTCCTCAACTTTCCAAACAATGAGAACCAGTCAACATCAGTACAAACATATTTTTATCAGGAAAAAGTTTTTGTTGTTGTTCCATTGTTATAACTTTTTTTTTTTTTGAGATGGAGTTTCACTCTTGTCACCCAGGCTGGAGTGCAATGTTGCAATCCCAGCTCACTGCAACCTCCACCTCCTGGGTTCAAGCGATTCTCCTGTCTCAGCCTCCTGAGTAGCTAGGATTACAGGCACCCGCCACCACGCCGGGCTAATTTTTGCATTTTTGGTAGAGATGGGGTTTTACCATGTTGACCAGGCTGGTCTTGAACTCCTGGCCTCAGGTGATTTGCCTGCCTCAGCCTCCCAAAGTGGTGCTGGGATTACAGCCACCACACCCAGCCTGTTTTGTTTTGTTTTACCGTCAAGTTTGTTCATATTGATTTATTTGCAACCCAACTCCTTGAAGACAGCAAATAGGAGTACTGGCTGCCCTCTACAATGGGCAAGTGAATTCAGTATCAAGATCAAGAAAATGCCAAATGCATGTACCAAAATCTCCTTAAAATCCAGAAATGCTGGCATGAGAATGAGTTCTTAAACGTAGGGTTTTCGAAGACAAAGGTATGTGGGAAAATAGCACACTCTCCTGCTAATCACTCAGCACCACCTGTTGTTCAATTGTTTGTGCGTGAGTAAACTTGTTTATTTTGAGACATCACGGGACAGTCTGAGGTGAATATTCTCCATTGCTAAATCAAAAGCCAACCAGGGCAGCAATGTTGAGGAGCTTCTCAGAGAGTTCCTGGAACGAAGAGCTTCCATGCTGTGTGCTTTTAAAATATTTCTGCAAATTCACTGAAACTGCTCCCATCAAGAAATGGAGTCTAGTCTTCCTTCCCTTGAATATGAGTCAAATTTAGTGACCTGGTTCCAATGAAAAATATAAGGTTGGAAATGACATGATGTGACTATTGAGGCTGGTTATGAGAAAAGAAGCAGCATCTCTTTAGCACTCTCTGAAGACGCTCACCCTCGAAATGCAGGTGCCGTGAAATGAGGAGGTCAAGGCCAGGTAGAGGGGCTGTGGGTGTTCCAGCCAACAAGCAGCATCAGCCAGCTGACTTTCTCTTTCTTTTCTCCTTCCTTCCTCCCTTCCTCTCTTCCTCCCTTCCTCTCTCCCCCCACCCTTTCCTTTCTTCTTTTGAAGACACCCAGGCTGGAGTGCAGTGGCACAATCTCAGCTCACTGCAACCTTCGTCTCCCAGGTTCAAGTAATTCTCCTGCCTCAGGCTCCCAAGTAGCTGGGATTACAGGCATATGCCACTACACCCAGCTAAATTGTTTTGTATTTTTAGTAGAGACAGGGTTTCACCATGTTCGCCAGGCTGGTCTAGAACTCCTGACCTCAGGCCATCTGTACACTTTAGCTTCCCCAAGTACTGGCATTGCAGGTGTGAGCCACTGCACCCAGCCCGATTTTTTTTTTTTTTTTTTTTTTTTTTTTTTTTTTTTTTTGAGACGGCGTTTCGCTCTTGTTACCCAGGCTGGAGTGCAATGGCGCGATCTCGGCTCACCGCAACCTCCACCTCCTGGGTTCAAGCAATTCTCCTGCCTCAGCCTCCTGAGTAGCTGGGATTACAGGCACACACCACCATGCCCAGCTAATTTTTTGTATTTTTAGTAGAGACGGGGTTTCACCGTGTTGACCAGGATGGTCTCGATCTCTTGACCTCGTGATCCACCTGCCTCGGCCTCCCAAAGTGCTGGGATTACAGGCTTGAGTCACCGCACCCGGCCCAGCCTGATTTTCTATATATGACTTTAACCACTTGCTGAGGACTCTAGACAATACGTGACTGCCCAGCCACCATATAACTGTGACCACACAAGAGACCCTAAGTGATAATCATCTAGCCAAGGCCAATCAACTCCTAGAACCATGAGAAATAATAATAATAATCAATCAAGGTTGTTGTCTTAAAACAGAGGTCTCCAAACTATGGCCTCTGGGTAAAATCTGGCCTGCAATGTGGCTGTATGTTTTCATACAGCCCATGAGCTAAGTAATAAGTAAGTATGGCTTGGTACATTTTTAAAGGATTATAAAACAAAACAAAACAAAGAAAAATATGCAAAAAAGACCATATGTGGCCCTTAAATCCTAAAATATATATATTCTCTAGCCTTTTACAGAAAAGGTTTGCCTACTGCTGTCCTAAGCCACTAGGTTTTCAGATGCTTTATCATATAACAACAGGTGACTGGAACGTGTAGTGCCTTTGGGACACAAGGAAAAGAATTAGGGGCAAATGCTGGGTTGACAGTATCATGAAAGTCATACTGAAAAGCTGTGCCCAACTGTCATCTGCAAGTCAATATTATTCTATCAATAACTGCTATCATAATATACATATACTATATATTATTAGAATTATATATAGTATGATAGCAGTTATGGATAGAATGATCAATAATTATATATATAAAAACATGGTCTCACTATGTTGCTCAGGTTGATCTCAACCTCCTGGGCTTAAGCAATCACCCCACTTCAGGCTCCTGAGTATCTGGGACCATAGGTGCAGAGCACCACGCCCAGCCATTATTAAAATTTCACAAATACACTTGCTCAGTCAAAGTGTAAGTGATGGTAATGGTTTATTAACCAAGGAAAGTGTCTGAGACATATATCTTGGATTTGATTCTAGTTTAACTTCAAATTCTGAGATACTCATTTATACGTTTAATTATAATCGAGAGCATTTACTGATTCTTTACTGAGTACCAGACATTGTTTTAAACTACATAAAACAATGTAGTTAAGCCTCATGACAACCCTTATTTCCATTTTACAGATGAGAAAACTGAGGCACAGAGAGGTGGTCTAGCCTGTTCAAGGTCACAAAGTTTGCAAGTGGGAGCCAGGATTTAAATGCAGGATGGACTCTTGTATCTAGCAATTTAAACACTACACTCTTGCTCCTTTCCAGAAAATGCCTAATATACAGGGTCTGAAGAATGCAGCTGACTTCCACGGGAAGGGCATTGACCTCTTTGGCTGCATTTTCCCGCACGCTATCCAAGTGTGCTGTCTATACACTTAGGAATGACGCCTGGAACTTGAGTCTGAGTCTCCATTTCCCCTGGATCTAGGCTCTTCAGTAGCACTGTATTCTGTTTAGAGGATCCCAAGCTCCCAGACTAGCCCCAAATTATGGTCGGTTAAAAGCCGTTCCTCCCAAACCGCCTATGTCTTTCCTGCATGTTTACTCTGGTTTCTGTCGTTCAACATATGGAAAATTATGGTTCCCAAGGAAATGACTGTCAGGGGAGATGCAATCTATTCTCTCCATTGCCACTCTGTGGCTAAACAAAATCAACAGACTGATAGAGAGGCAATCATATCAAAAGGATACTCAAACCATTATTAGAACTAGTGGTCATGGAGAGTGAAATAAATGAGTATCACTTTCCTTATCTGGGATGTGGAAGTGATAATAATACTCATCTTTATGATTTATTATGTAGACTAGAGCCAAGATATGGAAAGAACCTAACCCAGTGTCTGACATTCAAGCACTGATTGTAATTATTGTCACACAGAACATGCCTCTCTTTTAGAGAACTGGTGATTGGACAGTGACTTGTCATTGAGTGACTGGGAAAGCTGCTAACCACAAAGAAAGGTCCACATTCAAGAAACAAGACAGAGTAAGAGTTGCTGCTTGCCCATCAAGTCACACATTTTCCACCTCCTGTTGTAATAAGCATTTTTCACACTATAGAGTGCTGTTTTAATTACCTATACGAATGGCTCCATCACATTCTTTTCCCCAACTGAACTTGGCACAGATAACTGGAGACCCATGTATGGAAAGGCCAACGCCCTGATGGTAACCATGTGCTGAGGCCACCACATTGACCACAGGCAGGGTGCATCACCCGTCTACTCACCAGAAGGGAAAAACAATGAAGCGGCTGATGAAAAATATGGCAGAGAAGATGAAAAACAGGGTGTTACAGGTCTGTGTCCATCCAGCATAAGAAAACATCTTAGCAGACTGTGAACAAAGAAAGAATCTGCAGTTAAAGTAACAGTAGCATACATTTTTAAATTTAAATTTATAAGTGAAATGATATGAGGTCTGGGATTTGCTTCAAAACAGTCTAGTGGAAGGTAGGGTTACAAGTGGGACAATAGATCAAACAAGACTGGACATACTGATAAGTGCTAATGCTGATGGGTCCGTTATACAATTCCCTTTATCTTATCATGTGTTTGACATTTTCCATAACATAATGTTTCTTAAAAATACATTAAAATAACCATACTACTAGTTGTGCTTTTCAAAAGCACCAAGTTAGCAGAATCAACTTTAGCATGCATTTCATGTGGGCATTTACTTAGTATCTCCATTTAACTGGGATGGGAGCTGCACTGAAGAAAGGCTGGGACAGGTGGGAAGCCCGGGCTGGTCTGAGAATGCAGTCAAGGAGGCTACTTCAAGGGAGATGATGGAAGAGGCAAAGTCGAGAGGCGGCTCTCAGGGACCTGAAATGGCTGAAATAAAGCTTCAAGCATTTGATCTTTCCCAATTCTTTTCTGCTAGTCTATACTGCTCGTATTACCTGTGTTGAATAAAAAGAACTGCAGAAAGGGTTGCTGACCGTGGTAGAAGACAGTTAATTGATAAGCACTCTCTGTAGCATTATCCAGCAGTGCCCAAGGCTGAAGAGGGAAGTTTGTGGTGGGAGCAGGAGGTGGGAGGAGTTGCTGGGGCACAGATCATTCTTCTAGGGAACATGGCTTAGACTTGGGCAGTTTCAGAACCAACTTCACACCAGAAGCTCAAGGCCCTTCCAGAGCAAGAGAGGCACCATATTTACACTCCAGGAAGGGTTCATGTGGCATTTTTCATACTTTGCCATTCTTAGGAAGGGGTGAGAATATGGCCCAACTGTGGGGTTGGTAGTGGGGCCTCCAGGAACAGCCTCAGTTGCTGACACAGAAAAGCTGGTGTGCCCAATGGGTGGGAGACAGGCGTGGGGAGAAAGGCCCGAATTCAGAGTGACTGTGACAGAGCCGGAAGCTGGTGGAAGGATCAGAGGCCAGCCGGGGTGGGAAGCAAGAGATGCATACAGGGATGGGAGAGGATCCCTGTGAGTCCACTTGTGAGGGCAAAGGAGCACTTTGGGGGGGGGGGGGCAAAACATACACAGAACATATATATTCTGGATTGTGTAATGAAATGGGAGGCAGCAGCCCCTTTGTTTGCTAAGTATCAGTCAGGATATTGCGTCTTGGATCCAAACTTGACCATGTGGAAACTTAGAGGATCAGGAAGACGTATGAAGAAGGCAAAAGGTCACTTATGAGTGAGAATGGTAGATTTGAAGGCTGTTTTTCCTCCCCCCCGAAAAAAAAGAGCAAGGAAATGACCCCAGTGTCTTGAGAAATATGACAGATAAATAGGCACCATCTCAAGGAAGCCAGGGGCAAAAGTTGTGCCGTGTCTGGGTTCAACTAGAACTTGACTGAGAAAACAAACCCTAAAACACACACTATTCAAGGAAGCCGTGGACTGTGCACCCTGGGAGAGCATCATGCACAGGCCCCTGCTACCACTTAACACTGTGCCTACTACCAGCGGATGGAAGATACCAGCCTTGCTCATTGAACTTCACGTCAGATCGTGACTCGTGAATCGAGAATGATTCACAATCATTAGCAACATGAAACTGTTCTTATAGTTTGCTCATGAGGGAACCTCTAAAATTGGACAGTTCATTTTTCTTCTTTTTTTACCTAAGGACCTCAGAACATTTTCAGATAATAATGAGCTAAAGTTTACCACATACCCCAAGGGACAGATATGAGTTCTCACGTTACAGCTGGGGCCAGAAAACAAAACAATAAGTGATTTGCCCAAGTCACTTGGGGAATCATGTCACATCAGTGGAAGGGTGGGGAGGGTAGGCAGGGCAACCCTGTGTTTCTTCCCAGGCTGAACATCTAACTCCCCTTTAATAACACAATGGGGCTGTTTTACATTGGACACACACCAAAGGCAATTGAACATGAGAGCTTAGAAGCAACGTAGTAGTATAAAATTCTTAAGACAGGGCCAATGTGGTCTTAATTTTCCGTCAGGATTACTGAGATACAATCAGAGAAGGAGGTAATTACAGCAGCGAGGGCTGCATCCAGAGTGCCGTGCAGAAAAACTGGCACAATCCTTCTCCTGAGAAGCCATTTGTTACCCTGAAGCACATATAATAATCTTGACCGTTTGAATGAAATTTACATGTCTAATTATGATTACATACAAGGCAGAAACAAAATTCTGTACACAGTGGATATTTTAAGTGGCCAGTTGCTTTGAAATGGCTGCAAATGACTTCTGGTGACTTCTAAGACAGGGTTTGGTAAATTACAATCCAGCCCATGGGCTAAAGCTAATCAGCCCTGAAGAATGGTTTTAACATTTTTAAGGGGGTATTTAAAAAAGCAAAAAACAAAAAACAAAAAACAAAGAAAGAATATGTGACAGAAATCATATGTGGCCCACAAAACTAAATTTACTATCTGACCTTTTGCCAAGAAGTTTGCTAAACCCCAACCTAGAAGAATAAGGTTCTATTAAATTTAATTTCTTCCATATCAACCTATATTCAATTGTTAGCCCTACAAGAAGCAATCCCAAATGTGAAATGGTTTAGCATCATTTCCCCTGAATTCATTATAAATGAGTATATTTAAATAAATAACTCAGCAGTTCTGGGAACTGTTGCTCTAAATACAGCAGGAGACCTGGCAGAGAAGGGAACCATTCCATCACTGCCTGGGGTCAACAGGAATCAAAACAGAACAGAAGCAGGTCTGGAAAACAATTCCAATGGGCCTTTGTTTCTTCTATTTTGCACGGGGTGAGATTAGGAAGACTCACGTTTTAATGTTGACTCCTTCAGAAAACATCCTAAGCCCTCTTCCTCCCTTAGAAAATGAGGGCCTTAAAAACAATCAGTTTATACTCCTTAAAGCAAGGGATTGGGCTGGGGGAGGGCAGGGTGGGGTAGCAGGAACATTCAATGGGTATTCAAGTATTGGCCTAAGTGAATAGATGGTGTCATCCAAATTTGAGAACCCTCAGTGTCATAAATCCAAGTTTTCCTTTTAAAAGATTAGAGTTTATTCCTTCTGCAAATATCCCATCTTACTTTCTGAGTGCGCATATGCGTGCAACTTCCAGAAGTGGAATTAACATCTCTCTACTACCATGGAGAAGGATTGAGAATTAAAACTAGGAGGTTTCATTTCTGTAATCTTGGAGGATCTGGGAATCTAGAGATATTCTCAGACTTTGGGTGTTTTCTGGACAGAGACCCCTGCTAAATCGCTCACAGACAATCACTTCTGTGGGCAGTTACGAACACCCAGGATGTGGTATTGTCATTAGTTTTTTAATGGCAAATGTTTACCTCCAGCCAAATGTCAGCCACATCATGTACAATCATCACAAGGGTCCCACTGCGAATATAATTAGCACACCAAGAGAAGCTCATCAGACTAATCGCAGCCAGGTGGTGGATGATATGAGCTAGAAAATCCTACAGAATGAGGGGAAACAGAAGCCATTAAGCAAATGCATTTATTTCCCAATCACTGGAAGAGAGAACAATAATGACGATGAAACCAACAACTTATATCTGCATGTTTTGAAATTTATAAAATTCTTTTAATTCTTAAACACAGTCCTTGTGAGGGAGCTAAGAAAGTATTATTCTTGTTGATGAAGTCATTTAACTCTGAGATACCATCCCAACACTGGATATATGTATACACACACACTGCCCCCCAACACAGAATAAATGCAGACACACATAAGCATATTACTGTATACACCTACGTTATTGTTTATCCCGTGTATTCCCAAAAAAGAATAAAAGATTGGTATAATAAATCTACACAACCACTATATAAGTTAGTGCCTATGAAATAAGAAAATCTAGGCTAAGGAAAGCTACTGTCACTGAGTATAATAAAAACTTAAAGGTTTCCTGAAAAGAAAATACACAAATGTCCAATTCACACATGAAAGCATGTTCAGTCATTAGCCATCAGGAGAATACAAACAAAAACCACAATGGGATACCACTTCACACCCACTAGGATGGCTATAATAAAAAAGATGAACAATAACAAGTGTTGACAAGGATGTGGAGAAACTGGAACTCTAATGCAATGCTGGTAGGAATGCAAAACGGTGTAGCTGCTTTCTTAAACAGTCTGACAGTTCTTCAAAAGATTAGGCGGGATTACCATATGGCCCAGCAATTCCACTCTTAGATGGAATGAAAATATATATTCATGCAAAAAACTTGTGTATGAATATCCATAGCATTATTCATTATAGCCAAATGCAGGAAACAACCCAAATATTCATCAACTGGTAAGAGGATAAATAAAATTCATCCATCTATACAATGGACTATTACTTAGCAATAAAAAGTAATGCAGTACTGATACATGCCATAACATGGATGAACCTGGATAATATTACACTAAGTGAAACAAGGCAAACACAAAAGACCACATATTGTATAATTCCATTTATATGAAATAGCCAGAATAGGCACATTTATAGAGATAAAGAAGATTTGCCAAGGTCTGAGGAGGCTGAGAGAAATGAGGAGTGACTGCTAAAGGGCATAGGGTTTCTTCCTGGGATGACATAAATGTTCTAAAATTGACCGTGGTGATGATTGCACAACTCTGAATAGATTTTAAAAACCACTGAATGCACACTTTAGATAGTTTAATTGTGTTATATCTGGATATCACGGTAAAGATGTTTTAAAAACTTAAAGATTTCAGTTTCCTCATAGCCAAAGCAAATACAGTATCAATAATATCTCAATTTATTGAGCACTTGCTGTATATCAGGAATTATTTTATATAGATTAACCTGCTTAAGCCACACAACAACCAGAGAAGATAGGAACTATCTTTAACTCCATTTTATAGATGAGGAAATCAAGTTTAGAGAGTTTAATCAACTGGCTGGAGATGTTAGTGTGTGGTGAGGCCAGGAATTCAAACCCCGGAGACCTGACTCTGGGCCCTGTGCTTTAGTCATCTCCCAGTAGCTTTATGTTTCTGAACACCCATCTTTATATTATAAGACATATAATATATATTTATATTTAATTTTTGAGAAGATGTTCAATACACCTGTAAATAATGAAAGGGAAGTCAACTACAGCAAAATCAAAGGTGGGTGAAATATAAGATTGACCTACCTCTATATAAAGACATTCTAAAAAATGATTATTTCAACTCTATCCCTTGAGAAAATGACTCAACTGATTAAATTTTGATGTATTCCTAGCCTAAAGTTAGTACAGTTAATCTTTAGCTATTACTGAGTTATATGGAAATGAAGATTATTTCTATCAGAGTTTTTCACAGTGTGTTCTTATATTTATACTCCTCATGTCTTAAGATGTCCAATTAACTGCAGTGTATCCCTTAGTAATGGGTAATGGCCACCATCACTCAACTGAAACATTTAATCAAGCTAAACTGGTTTATCCAACATTAAACATCATTGTATTTATCATACAAATTTTGCTGCAAACCAGCCTTTTACTTATGATGTAATTTATGAATATATGCCAAGAGTATTTATCATTTGATCTCAGTTGCTTACATATATGACAAAATCTTATGATTGCATTCAGGCTTTAACATGGTTTGCTGGATCAGTAATCAGGAATCAGTAATAACCAGTAAAATACCTCACTTCGTGACCTCAGAAGTGGTATTTCTCATGCCTGTGACTGAGTTTTCTTGAAAATAAAGCAAAGCTAATAATGCCCAAAGCAAGGGCACTTTGTTTTATTTTATTTCCTCATAAATATATTTGATGAATTAAGGGGAAAAATGTTTTCAATGTCTTTGAAAACATAAAAATGTTGTATATAAGGTGGTTTTGCAATTAACGAAAAGATGTGGTTGCAGAATTAATACTACTAACATGTTTCTTTGCATTGACGGACATTACATTCCCAAACCAAAAGAAACAGACACATAAAGGAGATGTTTTTTTCTTATTGAACAGAGGTGGAGCTTCACAGTTTTTATAATATTTCACTACAAATGTTTGCCAAGGCACCAAAGCATGAGTATAACTAGCACTATTCTCTGTTCTACAAAGCACATAAAAGCAATGAACTGGACCCAAATACACAGAAAAATATAAATTAAAGATTATAATCTGGGGCATGGAAATGGAAATTTTTGAAGAAATTGATAAAGAAGCTTTGTAAATAAGACACTTACCTTCCTTTTGACATCAAAGCCAAGTCTAAATAACAGAGACCAATAAAAACTCATTTCTAGAATGTAGTACCAGTACTGGGATGGCAGCAGGGGCTGAGGAAAAGAAAGAGTATTCATTACTTTAAATGCCATGATAGAAGAAACTCATTTTAATGCACTAAAACCTACTACTTATGCCTATTTACATCCCACCGGATTCCATAAAATAACACTGACTTTTATTTCAATTCACATTTCAACAAAGAAATTAAAGATGATATCTCAGGCATTTTATTTCTAAAAGGGTAGACAAGTATTCCAAAACCAAGTTAAATGTTTTGTTTCAAAAATTAAATACAACTACCACAGTGTAAGTGCCTTACTTTAGTTTATTTAGAGTTAAGTTAAAAATTTTTTTTAATTTTAAATCTTTACTTAGAAACAAAGGGAATTCTTTTCTGCTGGTCCCATGATTTACTTTGATTAATGTTTCTTGAATACTACTGAAAATCTGATGTCTTAACCTCTTTTCTGGTGACAGGCTGGTGATCAGAATTAGCCCATTCTCAAACGGAACAGTAATAAAATATGTATAATTGTTTAAGAACTCTAAAAATATCTTCTGAATAAAAGAATAAAATTTTGATAGCTAGAATGTTCTTAATAATTTTATAGTGTGGGTGGTGTTGTTTATTTTAGCTAAGCTGAGACATTACTAATGCTCCCAATGAATGTTGCCTTCTGATATCCAAGCCCTTGTACAGTTTGCTCCAACACTGACTATGGACTTGATCCTGGTCTTTGGTCAAGGAGACATAAGAAAATGTGATGCACACAGAGACTTTATAAGTACCATGTAAGAATCCTGCGCCATCCTGCTGAAGAGGCCCCAAAAAAGAAAATCAAGGTGCTGACTGCCAACACTACGAATGAAGTCACCATGGACTTGAGCCATTATTCCCTAGCCAGCCTCCCAATTGTCTGAAAATGCGTGAATGAACTCAGTTGATAACATATGGAGCAGAAAAGCTGCTTAGCTGAGCCTAGACTAAATTGACAGCTAAATCAAGAGCAAACAAATGGTTGTTATTTGAATGCACTAAGTTTTGGGGATGGTTTTTTAGGTACCACGAGATAACTGATACACCTGAGAAGAGATGAGTAAGTTGGAGATGGAAGACGATAGGCCTGGGGTTTGGCCTAGATAATTCCTAGGTCCCTTATGGTCTAATCTTCTTTAATTCTTTAATGCTGAGGCTAACATATTAAAATAACTAATTTCTTGGGTCAACTCATCATCCTTAATAAGGCCATAAAAGAATGAGACAGATTTTTAAGAATAACTTAAAAATCTGGATAAAAGGCAAGGAAGAATATCTATTAAAGGCATCAGAGAGCAAGTAGGGCATCCAGAACTTGTGGAGTCAAGATCCTAAAGAGAAGAAAAATGCATTAGAGTGAACCTTTTATTTCAACTGAACCCTATTTTTCAAGAAGTACTGTAGGCCCTAAGAATAAATTAAGAGAATATCATCCTATACCTATCATAAATTCTGTATATGCCAATTTATAAGCAGTATGGAGCCAAGCAACTAAGAAACAGCAGAAGTTAAGCAGTAGTATCTGTAATATCAGTGTACTAGGAAGTAAACTGGTGTTCCAGCTCACTAAGGAAAAGGAGTCATGGTAAACACTGTAATCTTTTAATTGAAACCACTGAAGAAGAATACCCTAGAATATGGGTAAGTTGGAAATATACTTGCCTTACAAAGACTGAAGTCTACCTTGAATCAGCTCAATCAATAATTAAAGGTGATCTGCCCCTATTCTAACACCTAACAGAAGTGAAAGTAAGTTCTCTGTGAAGGAAGGTAATATCATCCTGACCATCTATACTTTTTCATATACAATGTCTGTCATTTCATTAAAATCTATCAAGCATAAGGAGACAGGGGCAAGAGAGAAAACAGATCCACAGGTGATCAAGAGATCAGCCTTATCAGACTGATTTTAAAATAATTTCAAAAATAGCTCAAAGGGAAAAACTGCAGTAAAGAACTGGGATCCATTAAAAAACAAAATAAAAATTTGAGAACTGAAAAATATAACAAATGAAATTAAGAACTAAAAAGATGTGTTTAATAGTAGATTAGACACTGCTTAAGAAAAGCACCAGTGAACTGGAGGACATGAAAGTAGAAAATATCCAAAACAATGAAGTGTCTGACATTTTACCCTAGTTGCAAGCTAATAAGTTAGTTTGCCACAAGTTCCATGAATGCTAGTAGAAGACAGCAGAAACCCTGGTAGACAGCAGGTAGTTTGTGACTCACATTAATAGCAGTATTTGGGCCAGTCTTCCCTTTCCCCATCCTCATAGGGCTAAGGGTCAGATGATAACTGGACACATTGTGGGTTGTGTTACAAGAGAGGAACCCTGAGCTAGAGAACCTGACCTTTCACAATGCACAATAACTTGCTTACTCTTTGCTCCATAGGGAGACATTATCTCTATCTTCTATGTCTGTTAGATATACAAACATCCTTGAAAAGATCATCTAAAACAAAAAGCAGTCAGTGCTTCAATTCACAGGGTATGCAAGAGACCTGTGTAGAACTGTCTCCCAACAGACTGAAGCACAGAGAGGCAAGAGAATGGAAAATATTTTTAAAAGCATAAGACACATAAGGGGCCTAGTGTAAAGGTCTAGTATAGTAGCAAATTTGTAACTGGAATTTCAGAGGAGTCTGGAAAGAGAATGGAACAGAACCAATGGATAAGAAATTTCCCAAAATGACTGAAGACATCAAGTCACAGATTCAAGATGTTCTACAGACATTAAGCAGGATAAATTCAAAGATAAGCCCATTTATGTATATCATAATAAAACTGAAAGACAAGACAAAATATTAAAATTGGCCAAAAAGAGAAAAAAGACATTATGTTCAAAGAAGCAAAAATAAAAGTGACAGATGAATTCTTACAGAACTGATGAGATCTAGAAGACAATAAAATAACATCATTAAAAGTGAGGGAAATAACTGCTAATCTAGAATTCTATATCCAGCAAAAATATCCTTTAAAAATCAAAGGCAATATGGTAACATTTTTCTAACAAAATCTGGCATACCTACCATTAAAAAAAATAGCAAAGGTACTCCCTCAGCCAGAAGGATAATAATCCCAGAGGGAAACATGGAAATATAGGAAGCAAGGAATAGCACAAAAAGGGTTACTTGACATATTTATAAAAACAATAATAGAAATGACTTGTAAGGTTTTAAATATCTGAAGGAGGAGGATATATGGTATATTCTAATGACCTTTCAGTGAGTGGAAAGAGGTAAGAACATCAATTTGTATCAGACTGTAATAAGTGAAGGACATATACAGCAATGTCTAAGATAATTACTAGAAGAACAAAAGCATATGTAACTGAAAGGTCAATATGAGGGAGGAAAAACAACAGTATTTTAAAAAAATAACTTGACTGTCCCGTAGGAAAGCAAGAAGGGAGTATAAAAGAAAATGCATCAAGCAGTACAAGTAAAAAATAAACACTAACATGGTAGATTTAAACCCAAATGTGTAATTACATTAACTGTAAACAAACTAAAGAAATGAGACAAATGAGGGTCAATAAGGATAAGGAAGCTCAAGTAAAATAAGTGCCAGGGACGACACAGCAGTGAACAAAGAGTAGCAGGGGACCAAGACCTAACTAAGGAGATAATTTGAGGGACCTCAATATTGAAGTGAGGAGAGGAATCCATCAGAGGGGACTTACCTGTTTAGGATAGCCATTCCAAACCTCCCCTACGTCATATAACCAAGGTTTCTGGAAAAATAAAAAGTCAACATTTGAGAAATAAATTTGTCAGTGTCAAAGGCCAATTTTGGCAGAAAACCTAAGCTCCTCCTTATGTCATTTATAGCAGGCAAAAATGCACAGAAAATCGTCCTTTGCCATATTATTTTGCTTCTGTTGCACATATTTCTCCCTCTTTAGGGATTTTTTTTAACGTATTCCTATATATCATCTCTGTGAAATTCACTACTAGTGAACCTAAGTAAATAGTGCTGTCTCAGAGGAAATTGTTTCAAACAAGTGACTATATGAACAAAATTATTTCTGAATTAATTATATTATTGCTTCTATAGTAATAAAAAAAAATCCTGAGATATCTGTAGCAATATTTGAGAGAAATCTTGAATCTTGAGCAAAATCTCTAAAACTGGTTATCTTATTAAAAGTACTATATCCTAAAGGAATTCACAGACAAGAATTTCAAACATTAAAGACAAATTCCAATCAAAGATATAAAAAGATAACTTACATCATAAAGAAATGCAATTCCAGCAATAGTAATGATTAAGTAAAATGCAAATCTCCAGCTGCCAAAAGAAAGAAAAATCTTTACTTGCTCATAAACATGACAGGAATTTGAGGAGAAAATGATTAGGTATGTTACAGTTTACAAAGAACACACATTTTGGAGTCAGACAAATCTAAGTTTCTATCCTGGCTCTGCCCCACTTGATAGATGGCCACAACCTTAGGTAAATCATTTAACTAACCTCAGGAAGCCTGACTTTCTCATCTGTAAAATGAGAATAACAATACTACCTCAAAATGTGCAAAGAACTGAAAATCTGTGATAATAGGTCTAGTATAAAGTAAGCAACAATAAATGGTAGCCATTATTATTATAATGGCTAGCCCAGTTCCAGGCACACAATTAACAGTGGGTTGATATTAGTATTACCAAGAAGGAATCTAATTAGTCTAATTATGTCTCTTATCCCCATTTAATTCCCAGTTAAAAGGTTTTTACGTGGTCAGACTTTAGTCTTCTGTTCTAAAAGCAGGTTTTGAAAGAAAAGATTTTCCTTATGTTTGGAGAAAGACCCATAGACTAAGAGACTGAAAAGACATATCTACCAATTGCAACAAATGGATGTTATTTAGATCCTGATTCAAATCAACAAACTATAAAGAAAATTATGAGACAATCAGGAATCTAAACACTGAATATTTGCTGTTATTAAGTAAAAATATTTTATTAAATAAAGAAATCATACGTTTTTATTAAACAAAAAAGATACGGATATTGCAATCATGCTTACAATAAAGCATTCTTACCTTTTTGAGATACATGCCAAAATACTTACAAATCACATTTTTGTTTTTACAAGATTATGAAGCTGATGCTACAGACTGTTGCTAACAACTAATTTCCTAAAGGAAATTGAAGCTAAGAGAGATCACAAAACTCACCCAAGTTTGGGCAGTAATACTCATATGCAAGAATACAGCCAAGTCTCACAGGTTTCTGGACAAATCCTACTCAGAGAAGCCCTATAACAAGAGTTCTCAAAGTGTGTGCCAGGGAACCCTGAGGTCAGAGTATCTTCATAATAATACTAATACTTATTTGCTTTTTTTCCCTCTCATTCTCTCACAAGTGAGGTTATGTGACATGTGATCACGGTATTGCTCTGAATAAAATTGCACTGATGAAATGTGTGTTTGTATATTCTCCCGTTTTATAAACATCTCAGTTTTAACTTCTAATATAGTAATTATCAGCAGGCATAACACACATCAATGTTCTTTGGGATCTTCAAGGGTTTTTAAGAGAACAAGCGGTCTTGATACTCTAAAGTATGAGAATTGCTACACTTCACTGAAAAGATGAATGATAAAGTCCTTGTCAATGTCATTTCAATCATATTAAATGAACCTAAGATAATAAAACTTTTTTTTTCCAGGAAAGAATGAGATAAATATAATCATGGGAAGGGAGAAAACCCACTGGAAAATCATTCAGAAATGAACTGGTTGGGCAGCAATGGTGAGAGTGAAAGGAGGGCCTGGAAGGTACAACCAGGGAGAAACTGAGCAGAGCATGAGAAACACTGCCAAGACCAGACAGGGGGTCGGTGGTAGGTACGCTGTGTGGAGTGGGCCATGGACCTCATGGGTCAGAGGAGGGTGAGGCCGCATCCACCCAGCCAGGGAGAGCCCTTTCTCCCACACCGAGGAGTTCTCCTACCTGGATACCTAGGGATTTGGGAGTCCCTTCTCACTGATAAGTTAAAATGTATATTTTTAAATGAAAAAGTGGTCAGCAAATGTGGAATTTTATTTTTTTTATAAAAAGGGGCCGGGCACGGTGGCTCAAGCCTCTAATCCCAGCACTTTGGGAGGCCAAGGCGGGTGGATCACAAGGTCAAGAGATCGAGACCATTCTGGGCAACATGGTGAAACCCCGTCTCTACTAAAAATACAAAAAAGTCAGCTGGGCATGGTGGCACGTGCCTGTAATCCCAGCTACTCAGGAGGCTGAGGCAGGAGAATTGCCTGAACCCAGGAGGTGGAGGTTGCGGTGAGCCGAGATCACGCCATTGCACTCCAGCCTGGGTAATAAGAGCAAAATTCAGTCTCAAAAAGAAAAAAAAGGATGCTTATGTGTTAAAATCCTGAAGGCTGTGGAATAGGGTACAAGGGTCTCCATGAAAGAAAATAACCCAGGAAGCAATACGCTGAGCTCTCAGTGCCTGGGGCCTTGTCCACCCGGATGTTACCGAGGAATTTCTGCCTGTCGGAAAGTAATTTTAGGAGCTGGTGTGAGAAATAAGTTACCAGAGATTTTCAAAAGGCCTGAAGTTAGGTATCTCCTGGTATGATTTCTGTAGCACATCCCACAGCTGATTTCAAAAAAGCAGAGCCCCTGTACAATTAAACAGCACATGGCATTAGGTTTAGTCTGTTTATCTAGCCCATAACTTTTAATTTAGAATAAACACGTGGTGTTGCTAAAGAATAAAATAAAGCTTAAATTTGATTCATGGGCCCACTTACTGTGTCCTGGATATATTGCCAAATTTCTTGCTTTGTGTCTTTGCCTTATTTGAAAATACTGCCTCAAACCCTGCTTTCTTTTCTTATGGAAATCCAACCCATTCTTCAAGGTCCAACCTATGTCTTCCCTTCTCTGGAAAACCTTTAACTTCTCCAGCCATGCTGATGCCATTGCCTCTCAATTCCCACAACACATCTAAACATGATGTTGTATCTGTTGGTATATGCTCCCATGTGCCACTGGGGTGGTGTGACAATAGATGTTATGGTTTTGTGTATGATAAACTGGCCTCCCTAATTGACTGTTTAAGGCTGATGACCATGACTCACACATTACTTTCCTCTTAAAATCTAGAACTCCACAAAATCTAACACAGGGCTATGCACAGAGAAGATACTAACCTGTACCTCTGCATTGCCTGCTTGACTGATAAGGGTTAACTAGAAATTCCCTTCTCCAGCATGAACTCTGTTACAAATGTCAGTAGGCTTACTGACATGGCCAGGTGCCCAAATGTTACTCAATTTAGGGATCCTCTGCTTGCTGAGAGGTAAGCATTAGGTGCCAATGCAATGTGATGGAACAAGAAATAGTCAGAATAGGGGTCAGAAGATCTGAATGCAAGAGCCATTCAAACACCTAAGAGACCCTTAAACTAGATGGATGTGCAATTTCTCATCGAAGCAGAGTAACCCCACCTTCCCTGACTGTTTCACATCATTGGCAGAAGGAGTGAACAATTATAACCTGTAAAGCACTGTAATGTATAAAAAATTGCCAGGGAATTTCATTAAAATATGATTGAGCTCAGAGGTGTTGAATTAGTCCCTGCTTGGGGACTTTAAGAATCATCTGTTAGCAAGAATGAACAAATGAATGAATTAGAGCAAGAAAAAGGAGGATGCAATGTGAGATGAGCTCCATCTTGTACTGTTTTGTGCTGATGGTTACAGAGATATATTTGTGCCAAGCTGAAATTAGCAGCAAATCAGTATTATATTTATCAAACTTCCAAGACCTAAAAACCAGAAGATGATGGTCAAACTCATATACCTCAAGCTGCTGTGAGAAAGGCAATGGAAGTCTGTGGTGAGGAGTGAGTGAGTGTTGGGGCCATCCTGAGGAATGGGTCTGTCTCTCTAAACATCTCCCAGTTTCACGGCTGGATTATAAGATAAGGAACATATAGATGAATTAAAGGAAGTCATTAAAGTTTAGCCTTCCACAGCCTCTGTTTGCTTATTTGAGGGTCTCACATCAGCTCCCTTATTCATTTCAGCCTCAAAACAAAAACATCTGGTGGAAGTCACTGGACAGTGTGAGGGAGGGCCTTAAGAAACAGGCAGAAAGTTGGAACACTGCTGGTGTGTAGAATGTGGCACTGAACACAGCCCAACTCATCCACATTCATCTGGATACCAAGAAGGGGAAGCAAAGTGAGAGAAGTAACCTGGTCCACCATTTTTTGGCACAGGTGTCAGTTTCTGCCACAAGAGAGAGCCCTAAAGTACTACAGTATCCTATAGGAGGGGGGAATAAAGCAGAATTCAAATGAAACTAAAAATAAATCCATTGCAATCTTCTTGCCCTCAGAATGGACTCAAAGTAGCCAGCTCTGAAAAAACCCCACTGGATGCCCTAGCTCATTCTGATCCTCCTACCAAGCCTACTGGGGAACCAAGAGGATGGGCTGTGCACCCCACAGCAGGGCTGGGGTCATGAGCTGCACCACACAGAGAGGCCTTTTCAGGTGTTCTGAGAGGGAACACACATCCTTGCAGACATTCTCTGCTCTTACAATTGTCATGGTTGGAAACAGGTGATAAAGTCTGGTGACCTAGGGTCAACCCTGACCCTAAGAAAAGAGAACCACCAGTTACGACATTTTTATGATTTTCCTGGGCTTCAGGCTGAGTACATAAGGTCTTTTGTTCATCTTTGAGAGTTCATGGCATGGAGTCTATCTGAACCTACTCTGGTCCAGGAGGCTGCCCGCTAAACAGAGTTTAGATCTTACTCAATTAACAAAGGAGTGGAGGAGGCAGAGAAAGCAAATGTGTGAGGCACCTAAAACACCACATGGGTGGGTGACAGAACTGGGTCTGAACCCTCCCTCTGCTGCCCTGGCAGTATTCTCTCTGCAAGGACCACTCTGCCCCAGACAGGATGGCAGCGTTCCTCAGGCACGGCCCATCCTCCTTACCAAGCTTCCTGGAATTTCTTCAGGCGGGAAGGCTTCTCTTGATTCCGCCGACTCCTAAACCATCTTTCCACCTGACGCTCTGTCAAGTTACACTTCTTTGCCAGTCCATAAATATCAGTCTGGAAAGGGATGAAATGAATAAATGAGCGATGAAGAGCAGAGTCAGACAGGCAGGCAAACGAGACAGGGAGATTGAGTTACAAGAGCTTCGGTACTGGGGATGAGAAATTCTGCCATGAGACCTGGATCCAGGGAATTTACCTCTTTTGCTTATGGAATCATACACACACACACACACACACACACACACACACACACACATTACTATCCCAGATCTCTAAGTTACTGAGAAAGATCAATTCTCCGTAAGTTGGCAGCAACCCATGCATTCAAGTTGCATTTGTGAGCTCACCTGTTGAGCTAAAATGTACTTAGGACTTTGTAGGCACCAGGTAGAATGGTATAGTTAAAGTCAAATCCAATCTCATTTTTCCTATGGGGAACTAAAACCCAAAAAATTTTAGTGACTTGTCCAAAACCTAAAATTAGTGTGGATAAGAACTTAGGCTAGTGCATTTTCTGATATTTTGCATGACCTTTCTGATAGTTCCAGAAGACAATGCAGGGAAAACTCAAACAGGTGTTAGCCATCCATTTTAACATGTAACCACATAGAGAGCCTATTTCAAAGTGATCCAAAATAATTTCAATAACAAAAAATAACAATTGCAAAATATGATGATGATGATGATTGCTTCTCTTTTGGGAAGTAGAAATTGCGGGCTATGATTTTAAATTGGAAACAATGTGAATGAAAGATTTTGCTCAAAGGTTACAAATTGAAGTTCTACCCAAGCCAGAAAAGAAACATAAATGACCTAGCGGGCCAGGTCTGTTTCACAGTGGGATTTTAACATAGGCATGTTTTGTCCTTTAAACCTGTGGCAACCTTCTCCACATCCACAAAGAAATATGCTCATGAAAAATGCCAGCCCTCTTGATCTTTTATTTCCCAAATAAGTATAAGAAACATTTCCTGCCGGGCATGGTGGTTCATGCCTGTAATCCAGCACTTTAGGAGGTCGAGGCAGGTGGATCACCTGAGGTCGAGTTTGAGACCAACCTGGCCAGCATGGTGAAACCCTGTCTCTACTAAAAATACAAAAATTAGCCAGATGTGGTGGCAGGCGCCTGTGATCCCAGCTACTTGGAAGGCTTAGGCAGGAGAATCGCTGGATCCTCAGGGGCAGAGTTTGCAGTGAGCCAGGATCATGCCACTGTATTCCATCCTGGGCGACAGAGCAGGACTTTGTCTTAAAAAATAAATGAATAAAGGAAACATTTCCGTTTCTTCTTAATTCTATTATATTTAAAATAAAACGGCATAAAACTGACCCTCAGCTTCAGTGCTGAGGAAAGAAGTGGAAGCTGTATGAATACAGCAGACAGAAAAGCACATATTATGTCCCAAAGGGCCAGGTGTGACCAAGATCTGGCTGACACTTCCAGGGAAAATGTGCAGACCCAGGATTTTGATGGGAAATCGCTAGGTTTTTAAAAATGTTGACCAATGCTTCAGAGTAAATTTAAACCAATTGTGGATGAATATCGTGAGAGCCAAATAAAGCCATCTGGCCTACAGGCCAGATGTGACCAGCGGATAGCTTCTGCTAGATGATCTCATATATTCTCTTGCAGTAAGGAGAGAACACCGCAGTGTCAAAGCAATCGGATTTGGTAGGAAGGGCAGGAAGCTGAAAACAGAAGATCCAGTTCTGTTACCTTCTAGCTATGTAGGCATAAGCATTGCACTTGGACCCCCATGTAAAATGGGATATTAAGAGAATGTTTGCCACCCACCTTAGAGGAATGATTTGAGGACCAAGGGATTGGGATGAGCTAATGAAACTACTGAATGCTGTGTCAGTGCTAGAGATTTTTATGTCCAAACACAGAAAGAAAACCATGGACTAAAAATTGCTTAAGAAAAAAGTATTCCTTTATTTTTAACATAATTTGCAAACATGAAGAGACCCCCCCCAAAATGGATAATATAATTCAAATTCTGTTGTTTGGTGCACAGCAGGACATACTCTGGCATGCTGCTACACTCTGCTCTGTGTGCTCAGACTGAAGGGACTCTGGGTCTAGCTTTACTCAAGTGTTTTAGTCATTCATTCATTTGAAAGGATTTAAAGGGTCTCTACACACTGGTGCCAGGCACCATTCTAGGCATGGGAGATTCAATAGTAAGCAAAACAAACTGAAATCCTTGTCTTCATTCTGGAATGTTCTCAAATCTTAGAACAACCCAATTTTATTTTCCCATGACTTCTACAAATAATTGCCTAATAAAGTATTAATCACTACACATAGAAGATAGTAATTGTTTATTATTCGAAGCATTTTTTCTATTCTGGAATACAGAAGAATCCAGCTGAAAGTCAGTCTTGTCAATTCTGGCCCCACGCACTATGATATTATTGGGAGAGAAAGTTCCTTGCAAACAAAATCTCTAAAAGTGTTTTCTTTAATTAATATGTGAAACATTAAGCATTTATTGTCTATAATTATTAGAAAATAGTGTAAGATATCATGGGAACAAAAGCAAGCATGATTAAGAAATAAAGTGACAATTCCCTTGAGTCAGGAAGACATACTTAAGCATGCTCCTTTGGAAGTCAGTGCATGATGGGTACAAAATTAATGGCACGAATAGTAACAGCTGACCTTTACTGAGCATCTACTATGTGCCAGGCACTATTCTAAGGACTTTATATGTATTAACTCAATTTGATCTTCACACACGCCCTATGAGATAAACAATATAATTATATTCAATTCACAGAGGAGGAAACTGAGGCACGGGAAGTTTAATAAGTCCATCTCTTTAGGGAAAGTCTGTGACAGAGCCAGGCTCTAAACCCACAGGATCTGTCCTCACAATTTGTATTTAGCCTCTATACTACCTATTGCTGTGAACATTCAGAATTGGGTTGGAACATGCAGGAAAAGCCTCAACAAGAAGAGGCTGAATGGCCTGCAGAAGGAGTGCTGAATGGGGCCAAGAGACCTGACCTCTGGGTCGAAAAAGGAACCCTCTGGGCCAGTGGAGGAGCCACCCTACCTCTTTGGCTTTCACATGTCTCACCTGCACAATAAACTGCACTAGAAGAGCTTTTGGCTCTAAAAATGTTTGAATCTATGAATGGCTCAAGCTAGCATACAGAAATACCTTTATTGATTACAGTAACTGGCTTGAGGTCAGTCTCACAGTGCCACGTTTTCTTTAGATCTCTTCCAGAAACTATTTGTTCTGCATCAGTTCATATATATGTAATTTTTTATTTTGCTAAGGGAAAGGGCTAGATAATAAGTTCCACTGTTACTACATGTTATCTATAGCACCATAATTGATCTATTGGTCAGAGCTGTTGGTCTTTCCCCAAACATCTGGAAGTTGTTCTTGATATATGCACATACACATGTAATAGGCATACAGCTGCGTAGATACAATAATAAGAGAACTGTACAATATCACAGACCAAAACTCTCAATGGAGGTTTATCTGTATAGTATTTTGGGCCTCATCAATACCATGTTATGCCCTTCTGTACGAACCAGCCCACAGTTGATGTCATATACACAGAAGTGTTTTGTTTTACTGGTGCAATCTATAGCCATTGAAGAAGCATCCTTGGGTCTGTGTGCTCAATTGTTTTAAGGAAGTCAAGTATTATCTACAAATACTACCAACATAATATTTAAAATACATTTTAACATTCATTTACAGACAAAAAACTCACTGGAGCATGGTAGAAAGGTTACTGGTCTGGAAGTATGGGTCAGGTTCCAGCTTTTGATTCAGCCACTCATTACCAGCATGACCACCCATTCCCCTTCAGCCGGGCCTTAAGTTTCCTCATCTTAATCATGAAAAAGAAAGGCTATCATTCTATGAAGCTTTTCAGCTTTTCTTAGTTTTCCTTCATCACATGGCTATTTTTTCTCCATAGCAGAGAAGCTTAGTAAGGACCAAATTTTCTAGATAATTTTAAATATCCTGAAAAGCTGGCTAGAAGCTCTTAGCAATAGCAAGTATAGCAACTAAGTGGTATTATAGCACTATTCTTCCCATTTTATATGAAGTATTACCAAAGTTAGTTGTTCCCAAACAAAAAGAATGATAGGGGTCCTAGAAAGAGGCCTAATTTTTCATAAACATAGCTAAATAATTTCCCTTTTGGAATGAGTAAAGGGATGCTTTGGCATTATTATCACCAGTGGTTAACAAAAGGATTTAGATGTATGATTGCAGTCATTTAAAGCACACAGGAATAAAAACCATATAAAGATGCCTTTTCAGACTATCCTTGGGTTGCAAAAGCAGTCAAATACAGAAACTGAGGGCAGTTTTGTTTGGTTTCGTTTTGTTTTGTTTTACTTCCTACTTCCAGCATCGGCCTTTCTGGCCTTGTCTTTTTACTGTTTCCGTGGAGTATAAAGGAAAGTTGCATGCTGCCTCCTGGGTTTTATCCCAGAAAGCTGCGGATTTCTTGCTGCCCACAGAGGCCTGGGGTAGGAGACTTGCTGAGATGCTATGGAGTGCCCATTTGGTCACTGGCAGTCTGGGCAGGTTTCCCCTTTCTGGGTTTGTGGTGGCAGATGGAAGGCCAAGAGACACAGACTGAGTCCCTGCGTGGCTGCAAGCAGCTCCAGCCTGGTCCGGAGAATCCTCCTCAACACGGTCACGTGCCTTGGTAACTGTGCCCAGAAAGTAGCCTGCTGTTTGCCGTGCTGCTGCTTTTCCTGTTTCTGCCCTTCCCTGCTGCCCCTTGCATGTCTCAGTTGACAAGCAACTCCTTGTCTTCCCTGGCCTCCTTACAGGGTTGGCTCTGGGCGTAGGTGGCCTGGAGGATCAGGGGAGTGGTCCTGCTAGAGGGCAGTGTCCAAGGTAGAAACAGCTCTCACCTGCTGTGAGCAATTCTGGACACTATACCCCACTGTGCTTTCACACACAGAGAAAGCACGAGAACAATTAGAGCAATTGTCATAGTAGAAGCAACTTAATTCAGCGAATAAAGTTCAGGACCCTCAAAAATCTATTTTAGAACTGTGTTAGCATATGTACTTGATTTTTAAAATTACTGGGAATAGCTGTTTGTATCATCATAGAGGTTGTGCCACTTTTGGAGAAATTTTGTTTCATCTGTCATTTTAACTATGGAAGTATAATAAAACTGGAGTGAACACTAGACTTACCTGGACATTTTTTTTAACTATTAAAAACTTTTTCTTTTTTCTTTTTCTGCATGTATTTAATTAAATATGCAGTACACAACAACATAAATGAAGGACATTTTATATTGTGAAGAGAACTGTGATTCTGTTAGAAATTCTCCCTGGAGAGTAGTCAGGGACACAGCATATTTCTGAGTATGTTGAATCTTTTAATAAAATAACATTCCTACTCATGAAAGCGACCCCAATGAACATTTTCGAAATGCGTGTAATGTATTTTGATGACACCACAATCACCAAAGGTATCAGATATGGGCTTCTCTGCCCTAACAATTATCCTTTTTCATCTGTATACTTTGTATATATTCTATCATCAAAAATTAAATTTTGGGCCAGGCACAGTGGCTCATGCCTGTTATCCCAGCACTTTGGGAGGCTGAGGTGGGTCAATCACAAGGTCAGGAGTTTGAGACCAGCCTGGTCAACATGGTGAAACCCTGTCTCTGCTAAAGATGTGAACAATTAGCTGGGCGTGGTGGCACACACCTGCAATCCCAGTTACTCAGGAGGCTGAGGCAGGAGAAATGCTTGAATCCAGGAGGCAGAGGTTGCAGTGAGCTGAGATTGACCAATTGCACTGCAGCCTGGGTAACAGGGTGAGATTTTGTCTCAAAAAAATATTAAATTTTGACCTTTACGCCCAAATTACGGCACTAATCATTAGTGCTCAACTCTATAGTTAAATACAATAGTTCAACTGCTAACATTTATTACTTTATATTTTCATGTGTATCATACTTGTGATGTTCTAAACCTGTCAACAGAAGAAAGAGATAATAAATCTAAATGAATCAACTCATTTGCTGGTCAACTGAACAGATTTCTTGCACATACAAGTTAAGCTATAGATAACTGAGCCATTAAGAAAGAAGATTTTTAAATCAAAAAGCAAAGAATTTGTACTTACTTGCAATGGCTGCCTTGTGGAATGTTTGAAAAAATTCTCCAAGACAGTATTTGGTGTAAGCTTTCGAACTGTCTCTTGAATGCCAAATGATTTTGCTAGGGGTGAAGCAACAAAACTACAAAAATATGAAAAGAAACAGAGTTCAAAATCTAAGAGTAAATCCACAATGACACCAGAAAATTAAAGCTGTAACTTTAGGTTTCTAATGAAATCAATCATTTGTTCATGTTGACACTGGGGCTACCTACACCCAAAACAGAAAAGTTTCAGACCATACAGACAAGCAAACATTAAAAAAAACACACACTTGCACAATTCTAAAATTCGTTGTATGTTAATCCAAATATATTTATAGACAAGATTTAGGAATTAGAATAAGCTATTCTACTTAGAATTTTAAAGACTCCCGGGGATTAAAATAAATAAGAGTTTTGTTAGAAAATGTTTTATTTGGTGTTATTATCTTAAAGAAATTCCTATTTCAAGTTCTAACATATGAAAAAATGGCACAACTCTTGGGCAAATACCTAACAGTAGGACGGGTGGTATGGCAAGTATACGTTTAACTTTACAAAAAATTGGCAAGTTGTTTTAGGTATTACAAATTGTCTAGGTATTACATTATTGATTTGAGGTCCTTCTTCCTCTTAAACATAGGTGTTTGCAGCTATAAGTTTCCCTTCAAACAGTGCTATTGCTGCATTCTGTTAAGTTTAGTATGGCATTTTCTTTTTCATTTATCTCAAATGTTTGCTAATACACCTTGTGATTTCTTCCCTGACTGGTTATTTAGAAATATCTTATCTAATTTACATGTATTTATTAATTTATTGATTTCTTCCTATTACTGATTTATCTTAAGAGATGAGGGTCTTGATATGTTTCCCAGGCTGGTCTCTAACTTCTAGCCTCAAGTGATCCGCTTGTCTCAGCCACCCAAAGTGTTGGGATTACAGGCGTGAGCCACTGTGCTTGACTGTTATTGATTTCTAACTTCATTTCATTGTGGTTGGAAAATATAATATTTAAATCTTTTTCATTTATTGAGACTTGTTTTATAGACAAATATGTGATCTATTCTGGACAATGTTCTTTGTGCATGTGCGAAGAACGTGTATTCAGCTTTTGTTAAGTGGAGTGTTCTATAGATGTTTGTTGGGTCTAGTTGGTTTAAAATATTGTTCAAGTCTTCTATTTCTCTGTTGATAATCTTCTGCCTAGCTGTTCTATCAATTACTGAAAGTAGGTATTGAAGTTTACAACTATTATTGTTGACTTGTCTGATTGCCCCTTAATTCTGTCAGTTTTCACATCATGTATTTTGGAACTCTGTTGCTAAGTGCATATATAATTGTTATATCTTCTATACAGATTTACCCTTTTATTATTGTAAGATGTCCTTCATCTGTAGTAACAATTTTAAAATCTATCAAATTACATTTTGTCTGATATTAGTACAGCTACTACAGTCCTCTTTTGGTTACTGTTTGTATGGTATATCTTTTTCCATCCTTTTACATTCAACATATTTGTGCCTTTAAACACAATGGGTATCTTTTGCGGACAACATAGTTGGATGGCGTTTTCCTAACAATTCTATCTATGCCTTTAATTAAAGTGTTTAATCTATTTACATTTAAAGTAATTACTGATAAAACGGGATTTATAGCTGTCATTTTGCCATTTGTTTTCTACCTATCTTAAGTCCTTTTGTTTATTTTAGTCCATCACTACCTTATTTTGTGTTCAATAGATATTTTCTCATGTACCATTTTAATTTTCTTGTCTTTGTAGTTTTTTACAGTTTTAAGAGTTATTTTCTTAGTGACTGACCTGGGGATTATAATTAACATCTTCATTTATAACATCCTAGTTCAGATTAATATCAAATTAATTTCAATAGGGTTAAAAAATTCCGTTCCCCTCCCCCTCCTTTATGCTGTTTTCTCACAAATTATATTGTGTTCTTACCAACACAGACTTAGATTATTGTTTTATGCAATTGCCTTTTAAATTGGTATGGGGAAAAAAGTGCTACAAACAAAAAACATGGCTATACTAACATTTTATTTTCTTATGTAGTTGTCTTTACTGGTGCTAATTTCTTCAGGCAGATTTGCGTTACTGTCTTGTGTACTCTCATTTCAGTCTGAAAGAGTATGCTTGTATGCTAGGCCTGCTTGTATGCTAGGCTTGTATGCTAGGCCTGCTAGGAATGAATTCTCTTGGTTTATCTTTGAGAATGTCTTAATTTCGCTTTCATTTTGAAGGAGAGATTTGTTTGGTTCACAGTGTTTTCTTGTTAGCACTTTTTATGTGTCATTCCACTGCCTTTCACCTACATAGATGCTGACGAGAAATCAATCCCTAATCATAATGAGAATCCCTTGTACGTTATGAGTTGCTTCACTCTTGCTGCCTTCAAAATTCTTTTTTTGGCTTTTGACAATTTGATTATGACATGTGTAGGTGTAGTTCTCTTTAATAATTTACGTTATTTGGAATTTGTTTAGCATGGATGTACAGATTCAGAATTTAGGGAAATTTGGGGCCATTACTTCTTCACATTTTGAGGGTTGTGTTTATTCTCTTCTCTTTCTGGAATGCCCATTATGTGTATACTGGTATTCTTCATTCTCTTTTATTTTGCTCTTCCTTACACTGCTGACTCTTTCTTCTGCCTGCTCAAATATGCTATTGAACCTCTCTCATGAAATTCTGATTCAGTCACTGTAGTTTTTAATCCTAGAACTTCTAGTTGGTTCTGTTATAATTTATAATTTCTATCACTTTATTAATATTCTTGATTTGGTGAGACACTGTTTTCATGCTTTCCTTTAGTTCTTAAGCATGTTTTTCTCCAGTTTTTGAACATATTTAAAATAGTTGACTTAAAGTCTTTGTCTAATAAGTCCAATATCTAGGCTTTCTCAGAAGTGCTTGCAACAATTGCCATATTTCCTGTGTATAGTCCATACTTTTGTGTTTCTTTGCATGTCTCATAAGTTTTTGTTGAAAACTGGACATGTTAAATACTATGATGTGGCAACTGCAAAAATCAGATTATTCCTCCTCCCCAGTTTGTTGCTTTTGCTATTTGCTGTTGTCCATTTGTTTGTTTAATCACCTGTTAAAATTAAATCTATAAAGTCTTCTTTGTGATGTGTGAGTACTGAAGGCTTCATAAGGTTAGCTTAGTGGTCAGCTAATGATTAGACAGATTTCCTTAAATGCTTGGAACCCAGAAGCCTCTCAGTCTTTGCTGAGGAACTCTGTGCATATGTTGGAGTACATCAACATTTAGCTAGGCAGTATGCAACTCTGCCTTAGCCTTCACTTATTGTTTGCACAGAGCCTAAAGGCCATTCAGAGGTGAGAGCTTATGGCCTTCCCAGGTCTTTCCTGAGCACGCAGGTAGCCATGAACATGCACTCACCCCTACACATAAAAGGAGACTTCTAGATTTCCAAGAACATTGTCAGAGTTTTTCAAAGCCTTCTATGCACATCTCATGTTCTAGGTTTTCCTTTGAAGCTTTTTGGTCATTTCATTGCTTGCCCCAATTGTTATGTACTGCCTTAGACAGTTATGAAGTTAATTAATTGCATCTAATCGTTTTAGACAAACACCCTCAGGAAAAAGCCTTTTTCACTGGGTGAGCTCTGAGTCAGGTCAAATAAAGACAGCATTGTGAGTAGTGTCTTCCAGAGAACCATCAGACAGATCAGAGAATGACAATCCTCTGAAAATGAGCTTTGAAGGAGCTGCTACTCTGTTCTGCTCCTTTCAGTGGCAGCCAGGCTGCTAGTTTCCATTGTAACTGTGGGCCACTGGTTCTTCAAGGCTATCCTGAGATGGAGAGGGCAAGATGGGAACAAGGAAAATTAAAAATATCTCACAGCTTGCTATTCCTTCCAAGATTTTGCTGTTTTTCTTAAATAACAACCTCTAGATTAGTAAAAGCCTTTGGCTGATTCTCAGTTCTGAAAGAAACTGACTATGACAATTTTTGCTAGTTTTCTGGTTGCTTTTGTGGAAGAATGAATTTTCAGAGGTTCTTACTCTAACATTTTTGCTAATTCAGTGCATCATGGTTTAAATTTTTATTTTCCTGATGACCAATAATGTTAAGCATCTTTCCATGTGCTAATTTTCTATTTGTATATCTTCCTTGATGAAGTATTTGCTCAAATCTTTTGCCTATTTTTAAAGCCAAGTCATTTGTTTATTATTAAGTTCTGAGTTGTTTATATACTCTGAATTTAAGTCTTTTATCAGATATATTTTATATATATTTTCTCCCAGTCTGTAGCTTGCCTTTTTTATTTACAATAACTTTTCCTAAAACGATAACTAGTAAGGTATTTTGCATATCATATAATTCAATGTTTTCAAGTACAAGATTTTTTTAAACAAATAAAATGACTTTTTAGTAAATTTACTAAGTTGTAATAACCATTACTATGAATCAGCTTTAGAGCGTTTCCATCATTCACATCTATTGTTAATCTCTGTTTCTTCTTGCACCTGCCACAGGCAACCACTAATCTATTTTCTGTTTTTAATAGCTTTGCCTTTTTCAGATATTTAATATACATGGAATTAAACAATATGTGGTCACTTGTGTCTGGCTTCTTTCACAGAGCTTAAGGTTTCTGAGGTTCATCCATGTCTTGCATGTGTTTGTAGTGCATTCCTTTTCATTGCAGAACAAGATTCCATTGTACAGATATACACTAGAAGTGTCTTGAGGAGCAAATGTTTTAGCTCTTTACCAAAATAAATAAAAGCATATAACCATGCAAATTATTGTACTCAAATGTTCATAGCAGCTTCATTCATAACAGCCTAAAACTGTATGCAACACAAACTCCTTCCCATCAACTAAAGGATAAATAAATTTTAGTATATCTGTATGTTGAACAACTATTCAGCAATAAAAAGGAACCATTAATATGCATAACAACGTGAAAAAATCTTAAAAGCATTATGCTTAATGAAAGAAGTCAGACAAAAAAGACAATAATCTATATAATTTAAAGGAAATCCTAGAAAATACAAAATTATAGTGACAGAAAGTAGATTAATGATTGCAGGTGGCTAATGGGTAAGGAG